TTCGGCTTCACGGCTATTTCCTGCTTCCTCGCCCATTCCACCCCCCCTCCCTCCCTCTCCAATGCAGAAAGCACGATATTAATTCGATCGCTCCCGTGTTTCGCGAGTTCTCGCTAAATTACGCGAGGTTGTTGCGCGTGGCGGGAAATTTGAAAAAGGGCGGGCTTTTCGAATCTTGGAGGAATAAATTTGAGATCCGTGAGCCTTTTTCTCTCGAAAGTGGTCATTGAATACGTACGTATTATTTATTTATTTAAGTGGAATTAAATTATTAAAAAAATTATATATTCGATCTTCTGAGAATAAATTTGAGATCATTCGTGAGCCTATTATTTACGTGGAATTAAATTATTAAAAAAATCGTATATTCGATCTTCTGAGAATAAATTTGAGATCATTCGTGAACCTTTTTCTCTCGAAAGTGGTCACTGAATACGTGCATATTAGTTACGTGGAATTAAATTATTAAAAATAAATTCATTCGTGAGCCTAGTAACTATCTTCCCTCGAAACTACGTAATGAAAACTACGTGTAGTATAAAGAAAATGAAGTTTGAGTTTTTATATAATAACGTATATACATTCAATATTATTTACGTAGAATTAAATTTATACGATGAAAAAAATGGAGTTTAAATAGATATTCGTTTCTATTTGATAAAACATAGGAAATAAAAATTGGCATGGCTTAACGATCACTTAAATTATAACCCGAATTCGTATAGCGCGTTACATATCGTATCTTTGGATATTTATTTTAGATTTGTACGTTTTCGACCTGCTCTAACCATTAAAGTTTTAGATACGTTTCTAATTTATATACACAGTTTGTCTACTTTTTTTTTAATTACGTAAAAGGAAGGAAGAAATTTACCTTTGTGTGCCATGTCGTCAGCGGTGACAGAGGCTAGGAGGCCGGTGGCGCCCGGCCATGGAGCGACCGCAGCGCCCAGCTGCTGCGAAGGCAGAATCTTCGGGCCTTTAGGCACTTCCGGTCACTGGAACAATCGAATTTTCACGTCATCTATCTTCCAATTTCAACTTTACCGTTAACATACGAAAATATATTCTCTTCAAATATTAACACCGATAAAAAGATATGTATATCTACTGAATACACGTTGATTAATCGATAGAAAAAGTATTTATGATTATTGGCGGGATTAAAAAGCAGAAGAATTCGCACGAAGATCTTTTCCCATTTAACGACTTCTGAGATTAGTCCCGTGCTATTTTCAAAAATATACGTATCATCCACACCTGTGTAAATCTATTTTATCTGCGAGACGCGCAAGTGTCGTTCGATGCTATTCCCAATTCTAATCGATCTTCTATTCTTTCCCCGAAACCCATCTATTTCGATATTTTCCTACGAATTATCATCGATGGAACCAGTTTATCAAAAATTCCACGTTTAACGACAAGTATAAATCCTACTATTCCAAGATTTAAATTTTAAAAATTCTTAAATTCCTTTTCTAATCTTAAAATCGTTCTATAATTTATTCCTTCGCTGGAAAGCATCGAAGCACCAATTCCAAAAATTATTCCAAACGATGTCGCTCTCCAAGAATTCGTCCTTTCGAAAAATTCGATATTTCTCTTCTCGTTACAAATTATTATCGATGGAACCAAATTATTATTTATCAAAAATTCTACGTTTAACGACAAGTATAAATCCTAGTATTCCAAGATTTAAATTTTAAAAATTCTTAAATTCCTTTTCTAATCTTAAAATCGTTCTATAATTTATTCTGATGTTGACGAAAGGAAAGCATCGAAGCACCATTTGGAAAAATTACTTCCAAAGCGATATCGCTCTCGAAAAATTCCTTTTTTCGAAAAATCTACGCTCAAAAAAAAAAAAAAAAGAAAAACAAAGTAAATAATTTCGTCGCGCAAGCAGAACACTCAACGAAACGCGCACCAACAACCCGTGCTGCATCCATCCATCCATCCGCCCCATCCATCCACCCTTCCCTTGCCCTCACTCCATTCACCCCCGCTGAATATCACAGTCACGCCTAATTAATAGACGTTCGTATTAATCCGAATGGGAAGAAGAAGCGGTTCCCATAATTACCGCGCGTGTGCGACAAACATTGAAAAGGTGTCCCTCGATTCTAATTGGCTCCATCCGTGTAACGAGTTCCCTCTAGAAAAGGCACGACTTGTTGAGCAAAAGAATCGCGCGCGTCTCCTCGCGAGAGAGAGATAGAGATACTGATACAGAGAGAGAGAGAGAGAGAGAGAGCTTAAGGGAGCACAACAATGCGTTCCTCCGCGAAAACCCTTTTTTTTATTTTTTTTTTTTTAAAGCTTAGACACATATATATATTCATACTCGTGTGTATATATAAATATATTCCCTTATTTTCGCAACGTCACACGAGAACGTCGCTCGTCGAGTGCTCGTAATTACCCTCCTCGCCTCCCCGTTGATGCATCGTGCGCAGCGTGCGGAGACTTGTCGGCGTGGATTTAAAAAAAAGAAAAAAAAGAAAAAAGGAGAGGGAGGGGGATAGAGATAATTAGCGAACGAACGAGAATCGAGGAAGGATACGAGGAGAGGAAGGCTGTGTGTGTGTGTGTGTGCTTCTTTCCTCTTCTTGATCTGTCGCGAAGGAGGCGGGGTTGTTCGCACCCCCCCTCCCCTCACTCGATGAGGTCTCGTGGGATTTCGAATAGAGGAGAGATACTTGTCGGGTATTATTATAAAGGGATTGTTGATTGTCGCGCTATTTGTGTCGATATATACTTTTGGAAGGGTGAGGAATGTAAGCAAATGTTATAATATGTTGGTGATACAGTGAGTTTTCAAGGATTAATTGTTTTATAATTAATCGATTCTTGTTTTAACTGAAAAAACTGTTAGAGTTTTCAATTATTTAATAATTAATAATAATTATTATTATTTTTATTATTAATAACAATTATTTAATAATAAAATACGGTATACGTCAATATTGTTTTATAACTAAATATATTCATAGTCTGTATTTCGAATTTTTAATTTAAATTTTTTCATTCGAAGAATTTGAAAGATTCCAAGGATCTTTTATTGGTCGATATTTGTTAATTCTTCTGAAGAAAATACTGAAGAAAAAATATATTAATCAATATTTCAAATTTTTAATTTAAATTTTTTCATTCGAAGAAAGATTCGAAGGATTTTTTATTGGTCGACATTTGTTAATTCTTCTAAAGAAAATACTGAAGAAAATATATATATATATATATTTTTACCAAAAATATATTAATCAATATTTCGAATTTTTAATTTAAATTTTTTCATTCGAAGAATTTGAAAGGTTCGAAGGATCTTTTATTGGTCGACATTTGTTAATTCTTCTGAAGAAAATACTGAAGAAAATATATATATATTTTTACCAAAAATATATTAGTTAGAATTTTAAATTACTTTTAATTTAAATTTTTTCATTCGAACGAAGAATTTGAAAGGTTCAAAACATCTTTTATTATCGACACTTGTTAATTCTTCTGAAGAAAAAATATATTTTTACCAAAAATATATTAGTCCACATTTCGAATTTTTAATTTAAATTTCCATTCGGACGAGATAGAATTCGGGGATGGAGATTTATGGAATAATACGGTTCAAAGTGTCTTTTGGAGAATAAATGAAACGAGAAGAGGGAACGAGGCGAAAGGAGAAGAATCTTCGTCGAGCGAACAATGATTCGTTTTCGTTCAAAGGGGCGGAGGGGGATGTAATCCGCGATAAAGGTAAAGTTAATAAAAAAAAAAAGAAGAAGAAGAAAAGAAAAGAAAAAAAAAAAAGAAAGAAAACGCGCAAAGTGTC